TGGCAACCATCCAAGCCACGCAGGCATCGGCGATGCATCTGGGTACCACGACGTGACCAGGCAATCTTGATGTGCGTGGGGGGCCAGAGTAGCAACGCCCCTCGATCTTCCGCGCAACGCCGCCTCGGCACCGCCGCCGAAGAAACCGTGATCGTTCGCGCATCTGCGCTTGTATCGAGGGCGCGTGCTGCTCCCGTGCCCTGCGTTCCTGCACCGCCACGATGCGTGTTTTTTTTTTAGCTTCCCATGACCAGCTTGACGAGAGGTCCAGGCCCCTCCACGATCGCCGTCGTGACCACGCCCTTCAGCCTCGAGGTCGGCCGCGCCTCTGCCGTCGCATGACTTCGCGGGGAAAGCCCCCGGCCCCGCGCGCCTGGCCAGCGCGCGCAGAGAGGCGGCGCGACGGAGCGGCGCCCTCTCTCCAGCCAGTTCGCCCGAGCGAGTGAGCTCCAGCCCACTCTGCGCCGTCTCAGCAGGAGGGCTCGGCACGGCTACCTCCGCCCTAACGAGAGCGCCGTTGGAACTGCTCTGCTCGGAAAGGCCAGCCTTCTCCGAGCTGGGCCCCCGAGGACGCGGCAATCGATGGCGCGGGTAGAACATCCAGCCCGACAAACTCATCCACGTCGAAGCCTTTTTCGCCAAATCTCCCCTCGACCAGGAGTTCGCATGTCGCCAGGCGGCCATCATTCAGGGCAAGCATGCGGTCGCCCCCAGCGCCCGACCCAGCCTCCGTCGTAGGAGAGACCCAAGGGCAACACTTGTTCCAGTCCCCGGCGCAGGCGAGCATTGGGCAATTGCGCGGCTGCCCACAATTCTTGACCCCAGACTCGAAGTTTGAATCGCATCAGCACTGCAGGTGTGGGGGGCTCGCTCGCTGGCAGATGAGTGTATCGCGCTTCTGTCCTTAGCCGCTTTATCATGAATGGCGGCCCCATGACTGCCTATGGGCGTCTGGCTGGACGCATCAGCCAGTCGTCCGACGTTCCGCGGATTTACCGAGGGTTCCTTCGCGTAACCTCACTTCTCCAGGTGCCTCCATCTTTTGTCGCATGCGCCCCTGGGGCGTTATCCACTCCTGGGGCTTCCCCGGGGACTCCTTCGCAACGTGGCGACTGCAAACCTGAGGTGTTCTCCGCGCTCGGGGGCTTCCTCAAGACTTGCAACGACGTGCCGCAGAGCCTGGGTAGGGGATGGCGCTTGCATTGATGGCGCCTTGCGGTCAACAGCGCCGGGCAGGTCGCCGCACCCCAGACCATTGCCAGAGGAACCGTTGCACGGCTGGGTAGCAAAGGCTTTGCCCACAACGTTTAACCCGGCATCCGCCGCATCACTGCCAAGAACAGCTTCCAGCCTAACCTGCGAGGGATTTTTTGACGACGGCGCATTCGAGGCATACCCCAGGCGATTCACAATCGATGGGGGGTGCCCGCCCGCCCCGTGGGTGGCCCCAGACAGCGGCATGCCATTGCGCGGCGTCGTCTCCATGAGGATTCATCTCCACGGCTGCAAGTCGCTGTTTCGCACCGGGGGGAGAGGGGGCGGCGGCGAGACGAGCGGCAGAAGCATGAAGGCCTTCAAGGTCCTCGCGCGCAAGATCTGCCAAGTCACCTGGACACATCGCCTCCAGCGAGCCCCTTCAGCTCCTGCCCCTTGGCTCACGCGATGTTCTTTTCGAGACTCAGGGGCTCGATTGCCTGGCCAAGCGCGCTCGCTGCCGAGCCTTCCGCCACCTGCGGCGCCCCTAGTCTCCGCGCCCTCCGCCGAAAATAGCGCCCCCGCTTCCTCCTTCGCCGCCGCCGCGAGCAGCCGACCCATGCTGGCCGCCGACACTTTCACAGGAGCAGAAATCTGCTCGCCCACGCCCTGCTTTTGCAACGTGGTGCCCAGGGCCTCCACGTCAGCCTGCGTGCATGGGCCTTTCTCACGCAGCGAAGACACCTTCGGTGCCTGCAAGGCCAGGTGGGCGGGCCCCTGTACCTGCGCGCCGAGCGACGCCACTTCGATTTCCTGCTTAGCCAGTGCATGTCTGTGCCTGGGCCAAGCCTGCCTGCGCCTCCGCGAGCTGCCCCTTGCGAGCCTTGACCAAGTCATGTGACACATCAGTTCTTTTCTCTGCCATCTTAGGTTGGCACGCGCGGGGCGCGAGGCCTGGGGCTCGCGGTGAATCTGCTCCCTGTCCGGGCGGAAAGCGTCGGCGCGCGCTGTGCGTAGACGCGATCCCAGCTGCCCTTCAAACCCAACGTCCTTGAATCGCTTGTGCAAGCGAATCATCTCCTCTTTACCGTGGGACGATTCATCGATCTGCATGGAATCACCTGCGGGCACTCCGCCCGTCTTGCTCTCCGCCTCCAGCTCCCTCAGCCCGCGTATATTGGAGGGGCTCGCATGTTCAGGTGGAATGGCGGCATCCGCCCTTCATGAGTAGCTACCCGACCTTGTTGGACTTGCTGATCGACGGCGCGGTTGGCTGCACGCTCCCTGCGAATTTTGCCCATTTGCCAACCCGCGCAAGACGCACTTCTTCGCATGCGCCAGGTTCCACCACCTGCAACCCTTGAAATTCCATTTGCGCGCTGACTACTCACATGAGAACCCGTGGCGCACTGAACGTGCCCCGCTCTCCTGCGAAAGGAGGCAGCCGACAAGCTGGGGCGGGCCAGCCGTCGGGAGCGGATACCGTTTCAAAGATGGCCAGCCTTGCTTGCTTCGGAGTAGAGGTTTCCACTTTTGCATCCAGAGCATACGAACCTCTCGAGCCAATGTGGCAACAGAGGCAGGGCGGAGGGAGGAGAAGGAGCCGGAGGAGGAGTGCCGCGGCCCCGCCGCCGCCCTCGGCGATGTCGTCGGCACCGTCGCCATCGCAGTCGACACTGTCGCCGCCGACAGCCGCCGCCGTTGTCGTCTTCGTGGCTCCGTTGTCGTCGTTGTTTCCGTCGTCGTCGTTGTCGTCGTCGTCGTTGCCGTTGCCGTTGTTTCCGTCGTCGTCAGCGCCGCCGCCGCCGTCGTCGTTGGCCCCCCTCCTCCGCTCGTCCCAGGCAGCTCTAAGGCAACCTTTCCTAGCAGCTCCTGCGCAGCGCTTCTCGAGCTCGCGCGCAGCTCCAGGGCAGCTCCCAGGCAGCGCCTCCTGGTCTCGCGGGCAGCGTCTGGGAAGCTTTTGGGCACCGCTTCCTTGGCTCGTGGGCCCGCGGGCGGCCGCTCGGTGGGGTGGGGCAGGCGGGGGCGCGGGCGGCTCCGTCGGGCCACGTGTTGCCGGGGCGACGATCGCTTCAGTGGGGGGCGTCCAGGGCCAGGAGGCGGGTGCTCAGCGCCAGCGGTCGTTGCGTGATATCCGGTCCAAAACCGAATTTTTGGCTCGGTTTGGGAGGTCGCCGCGGCGATTTTGGTAGCCGTACATCGGGGTAAAGTTTTTGTCCAGGAGCGGCATGTCCCTTTCCAGCCCCCCTTCGCACTCTGGGATGCAGGAGCGGCGATGTCTTAAAACGTGGCAAGTTGATGTCGAAACATGGGCGGTCATGCTGTTTTGGTGACGGGGGGTTATCGCGCAGCCAAGCGGGGCGCTGCAAGAGCGCCAGATCGTGAAGGATCCTGGGAAATCCAGATTCTGGCCAGGCAGGGTTTGGGAGCGCGTCGCTGCCCCGGAGGCACCTTTGCTCCACACATTAGCTCTAGGCTTCCTAGATGGGGTCGGAGTAGATGGGGTCGAAGGATCGCGCCGCATCGCGGATACATCGGCGATGAGGCTCGATGCGGGACCCGATTTTCTCCACGCCTACGTCGCCGATGCATCGCCGACGTCGCCAGTGCATCGCCGATGCATCGCCGATACATCGGCGATGCATTGGCGATGCGGCGGGATCCTTCGACCCCATCTACTCGGACCCCATCTAGGAGGCCTCTATTAGCTGAGCCGCACTTGGGGGAGCCCACCAGGGCAGCTGCAGCGCTGAGCCAGGACGGTCCACGCTCGAAGATGTCATGGCCGCCTCTCGCTCGTGCAGCACATCAGCTGCCCCCCCTCGTCCGCGCGCGTGCCTCGGAGAATGGTTTACGACACCCCCCATTTGGACGATCCGCCCTTGGAGGTTTTCCGGCAGTCTTTGGGGCTTCAGGGGTGCCCTCCACTGGCGCCGGGACCGTCAAATAGAGGTTTTGTGGGAAGGACTGGAGCTGGGGAGGGTCCTGGGCTGCAGGACCTGCTTCCACCAGGTCCACCGGTACCCTCTTTTCTTGCATGCCAGGCTGCCAGGCGTATTGGATCACGACGTTGTGCCGGGTGGTGGTGATGGTCGCCGCACATGGGGAGCAAGTCCCGACCCGCGTCACCACAGCGACGACGACGCCGACGGCGCAGACGCGACGGCGCAGCGAGCAAGGGCTCTCCGCCCGCCGCCAACGGAGGGAGGAGTAGGAGGCGGCAGCTCATGAGCCTTGGGCCCCTCGCCGAGCGCTGTGCAAATGTCGCTAGGTTTCAATGCTGCTTGCCGTTGATACCGCGCGTTCGCTGGAGCAAAGGCCCCGCCTTTCCTCCTTCCTCGCCCGTCCCCTCCTCCCTCCTGCAAGTTCTCCCCTCATCATCCTCCTCCCTCTCCCTCCTCCAGTTTCCTCCTCCCGTAGAGGTCTCCAGACCTTTCCAGGAGGTCCCCACAGAGGCCTCCCGAGGCACCAGCGGGCCAAGATGCCCACCACGCCCGAGAGCTTCGATCCTCGATCGGCGTCGGGTGTCCCTGCCAGCGGGGAGTCAAGCGCGGAGCCTCGCCGCCGCCGTTGGCGCCGTCGACGTCGTCGTCAGCGTTGTCGTCGACGCCCTCGTCGGCGCCGTTGCGTTGCCGCCGCGCCGTGCCGCCGTCGTCGCCGCGCTCGCTTTCGGCGCTGTTGCCGCCGTCGTCGACGTTGTCGCCGCCGTCGGTCGTCGGTCGTTGCCGCTTCTCGTCATCGTTGGCGTCGTCGGCGTCGCCGTGTCGCCGCCGCCTTTGTCCCCGTGCCGAGCGCCGCGCGGCGAGGACCTCGAGCGGCTGGGCCGCGAAGTGCAGCGGCTGGCCGAGGCCAGCCCCTCCGTGGTCGCCGCCGTTCTCGCTGTCGCCGTCGTCGACGGCCGATGGGTCGGTCGGCCGATGCCCGCCCTTCGTCGACGTCGTAGTCAGTTGTCGTCAGCGTCAGCGTCGAAGTCGGCGTCGTCGCTGTCATCGCAGGAGCTGTCGTCGGCGTCGTCGGTCAGGAGTTAGGAGGATACTTTCGAGGCTCTCGGTTTTGAGCGGGCTCTTAACGGGGGGATTGTATGCCTCGCTCAGTGAGATCACTCAACGCGGATTTAGGAGTTAGGGGGGTTAAGCTTTGGGGGTACTCGGGGGACGCGTATGTGCCGAGAAGAGGAATTGAGCATAAGGAATTATTTGGCAGCGTGGACTCACGTGGACCCCAAACAGTGCGCGATTGCACCCTGGATGCGTAACCAACGTGTGTGGTGCAAGATCCGCGCTGCAAGCGATGTAGTGAAGCAGACGTATCGCAAGCTGGGTCGTGCAACCTGTGGTGTGCCAGCCACGTCCCCACCCAGGGGCCCCTTCCTCGATACATAGCCGCCTCCGGCGCCAGGAGGCGCCGGGAAAATCAGCTACGCGAGCTGATTCTGAACCCCCCCCTTTGCTATCCCCCCCTTTCGCCCGACCCGACAGGCCCCGGCGGACGCGGGCAGCGCCCACGAGGCGCCCACGAGGCGCCCACGGGGCCGGCAGAGGGGCGACGCCGCGGCGGGCCAGGCTGGCGCACGGGGCGCCCGTGTCTGGCCTGCGGCACGTCGGCGGGCCGAAGCGATTGCCCAAGGGTTCCCACGGGGGACCTCCACGGGCCACGCGCATCGCGTAGAGACGGGCCTGGTCCCCCGACGGGGGGATTCTGGGCGAAGAATCAGAGATACTCAGAACTTCGTCCCAGGATGCCCCAACATGTTTTTTTGGGGTTTTATATAAGAAGAAGAGGGTCCCCAGACCACGTTTTGACTTGTTCTGAATACCCCCCCTGTAGAAGCACAGGCCCGACCTGAGCGCAGTGCGGGAGAGCAGCTCTCCAAGGTGGTTGCCCCTGCATCCCCTTCCCCTGCGGCCCCTCCTCGGCCGCTCTCGCTGGGCGCGCCCCGCCCGCGGCGTGCCGGCGTGGCCTTCCGGGGGCCCTGTGGCAGCCTTGTCGTCCGCCCTCTTTCCGCGCGGGCTTCGCCGCCTGCCGCCGGCCCCCTTCTCTTGAGAACGGGACTTGCCAGGGCTGTGCTTCGGCACGAACCAAATCGGTACGGGAAGAATGGGTACAGTGCCCAACAGCAGGCTTCCCCCCACTGGCCTGCCGCCTACTGGAGATCGAGAACTCCTGACGACCTGGGGACGGAGTTGTCCTGGCTCCCCGCGTCCCGCCTGGTGCTCCTCTCCAGGGCGGCGGCGCGAGGTCGCGAAGACGATGTCGGGAGCCTCGAGGCGGGGTCAGTGCAAACGGGGGTCAGCCATAGCGCCAGTGCTTGCAGGATCCAGCAGAGCCACTGATCTGGGCCAGCGCGCAGGATCCTGCCGGACATTGCCGGATCCTGCAACGCCAGACTGACCCCGGTTTGTGCTGATCCGGGTCAGTGCGTCCCGATCACGGCGCTTCGCTCATTGCGTCGCGCGAATTCGATTACGGCCTGATCGCGCCGGGCATCGACCCCAGCGGCGGCTCGCTCTCGGCTGGCAATCTTCGTCATCCCCCTCCTCGCCCTCCTCGCTGTCCCTCCTCGCCCTCCTCATCTTGCTCCCCCCCTCGCCCTCCTCCTCGTCCTCCCTGTCCTCGTTCTTCCCCTCCTCCTCGATTAGGTGCTGTCCTTCTAGCGACCGTTCAAGGATGCACCATCCCTGCGGTGTCAGAAGCCCAACGCCGACGCCAGCGCGACGCGGGCCTGTCTTGGGTGGCATGGGTCGTCGGCCGGCCGCGCCGAGCGTGGCCCTTCGCATTCTTGCTGGTTCCCGAGGCGGAGGCGCGCGCCCAGGCGCTCTCCAAGGCGCTGGAAGCCAGGCTCCCCGGGGGGGCTGGCCAGTTAGAGGAGGAAAAGGTATCGACACCGCTGCCCTCCCTTCGCTTTCGCCTGTTTGGACCTCCCGGGAGACCTTCCTCGCCACCGCTGGATTCGCCTCGGGCTTCCGGTCAGAACGCACCCTGGGAGAGGTCCAGGGAGTAGCTGTATTGGTGTATTTGAGTTTCCCAGTCAGAGCCCCGAATCATCATGGCTGGGGGCGGTCAGGGGTAGCTACACATTCATGCTTCGCGGACCCAGGCTGGAGTTGCCCCAGACTGGAGTTATCCCAGATCGTTCCCAGATCATGGGGGCTGGGGGCAGTCAGGGGTAGCTATTGGTTCGTACGTCGTGGACCCAAAAAGGAGTTACCCTGGGCTGGAATTATCCCAGAAAATTCCAGCTTGCAAGCTGGGCCCATGCCAAGATCTAGGCCTCCAAGATGATGTCCGAGTGGATGGGGTCGGAGGATCGCGTCGCATCGCCGATGCATCGGTGATGCGGCTCGATGCGGAGCACGATTTTCGCCACGCCGACGGCGGCGATGCATCGCCGACGCCTCCGATGCATCGCCGATGCATCGGAAGAGTCGAACAACACAAAAACTTCATCATTACACATTATTTCTCAGAGGTTAGCGCGGATGTCTCGGAGGTTCCTTGGGGGGCTGGTCAGAGCCCCGAATCATCGGGATTAGGGGCAGTCAGGGTAACTGCAGATTCGTGCCTCGCGGGCACAGACTGGAGTTATCCCGGATAATTCGGGCGTCCAACCTCTCCCGAATCATCGGGGCTGGGGGCGGTCAGGGGTAGTTACAGATTCGTGCCTCGCGGGCCCAGACTGGAGTTACACCGAACCAGAGTTCTCCCGGATAAATCGGGCGTCCAACCAATTCCGAATCATTGGGGCTGGGGGCAGTCAGGGATAGCTACTGATTCGTGCGTCGGGGCCCAGACAGGAGTTGCCTTGAACCGGAGTTATCCTGGGTAACTCGGGCATCCAACCATTCCCGACGCATCGGGGCTGGGGGCAGTCAGGGGTAGCTATTGGTTCGTACGTCGGGGACCCAAACAGAAGTTTCCCCAGGCTCGAGTTATCCCAGAGAATTCGAGTTTCCAAGTTGGGCCCATGCCAAGATCTAGGCCTCCAAGATGATGTCCGAGTGGATGGGGTCGGAGGATCGCGTCGCATCGCCGATGCATCGGTGATGCGGCTCGATGCGGAGCCCAATGTCTCCACGCCGACGGCGGCGATGCATCACCGATGCATCGCCGATGCATAACCGCCCATACATCTGCGATGCATCGATGCGAGTCGAACAACAAACAAACTGCAGAAACATGACTTCTCGGAGGTCCGCGCGGAGTTCCTGGATCGGCGCTGCGGCGTCCCTGGTGGCGCCTCTGGTGCCGCCACGGTGCGCTCCGCGCGCCAGGGAAGGGGGCCCAGCGCGGGTCCCCAACAAAAATTGCGCGGGCCTCCGATAAGTTATGTTTGACGGGTGTTCGGTGTGGGCTGCGCACTAGGCAATCCACAAGTCCGGGGAGGTGCAGGCTCATGAGCAGGAGAAGGAGGCAGCAGTGCAGCCATGAGCCCCCCCCGCATCCTTTGTCAGGATAGACGAGCTCGGCAACCCGGCGGAGCTGCGGGGTGACATAGAGAGCCTGCAGAAGGATTTGGGCCAGCTGAAGACCCAGGGCGCAGGGTCGGCTGACCTGCTGGGCGACGTGGATCTCAGACTGCTGAAGGCACAGCCTGCGCAGTTGACCGAGCTGCGAGGCGACGTGGAGAGTCTGCACGCGGATCTCAGACTGCTGAAGGCACAGCCTGTGCAGTCGACTGAGCTGCGAGGCGACGTGGAGAGCCTGCGGGCGGCCCTCGAAGAATTGAGATCCTCCAGTTCGAAGGCGTCGGCGGCCGCAGAACTCGGGGGCGAGCGGCAGCAGCGACTCGTGGACGAGCTTGACGCACTGAAGGGCGAGGTCGGGCGCATCGCGGAGCGGCAGAGCACGCTATGCACGCAGAGCCCGCAGCCAGTACTGAGCGAGGCCTCCGAGCTCAGGCGCGACCTCGATGCGACGAGGGCTGCGGCTGTCGAGGGGAGAAGCACGTGGACCATGACCAAGATGCCGCGGGATCTGGGGGGGGGGGGGTCGGCAGTTTTGCTCAGTTCTCAGCGGTCTGCCAGCCTCGGGACGCTCTCCGGCGGCTGCGCCACGCCGAGGGCGTTCCACAAGGGCTCCCTCGAGGGCGCGAAGTTATTCGCGCTTCGCGCTTCGCGGTCCTCGTTCCTTCTCCCCCTCCTCCTCGTCCTCCAATTCTCCCTTTGGGAGGGCGGCGCGAGAGCGCGAAGTTATTCGCGCTTCGCGCTTCGCGCAGCGCGAAGCGCGAAGTTGGGAGCCCTAGGGTTCGGCAGTTTTGTTCAGTTCTCAGCGGTCTGCCAGCCTCGGGACGCTCTCCGGCGGCTGCGCCACGCCGAGGGCGTTCCACCGGTGCCCGGCCTGGAGCGCCCCGAACGGCCGCCGGGGGCCCGAGGTATGTCAGGAGGGAAAAAAACACACAGACACAATTAATCCTCGATTCCCAGGAAAATATGGGAAAATATGGGAATTGGGGGAGAAGACAAAAACCCAGAAAATATGGGAAAATATGGGGACTAATTTTATTTGTGTGTATTTATTTGTGTGTCCTAATTTCCCTTTAGTATGGCCCCTAGAACAGCCAGGGGCCCCCAAACGAGGCGGTGACCACACCGTGCGGTGAGTCGGTGGGGATTCGGGCTCACCGCACGGTTTTGGGGCTCGGGTCGTCTTCCGAGGACGTCTCGGGCGACTGGGGCCCCCCAGGGTCCCAAAACCGTGCGGTGACGGACCGTGCGGTGAGGTCTCGGGGGATTTCGAGGTCACCGCACGGTCCGTCACCGCACCGTTTCGGGTTTCCAAAGAACAGCCAGGGGCTGTGGACGCCGACCTCGGTCATGGTCGACGGTGACCAAGATGGGCGGGGGCCAAGACTGGACTGTCAGTGGCGTTTCCGCGTTCAGTCTCGGTCATGTCATGGTCCTCGTTTCCTTCCTCCCTGCAGGGGCAGGGGCGGGGGGGGACATGCTGAGAGGGAGGACGCACAGAACCCCAATCGCCGAGAAAGGGGATGATGGCCCGCACCGCCCAACAGCGTGCAGCTTCGCTGTCGGGGGCTTATCGCCGTTCCATCGGCGATGCATCCCCAAGTCCAGGTCGAGGGTGCCCCCCCTTCCCTGAGCCTGTGTGGCCCCCTGATTTTGCCCCTCACCTCCAGGTTGCGAAGCTGGAGGCGGCCTCCGTCGGCTGCGTCGCTGGCGCCGCGCTGAAGGCCGAGGACCAGCAGATGCTCGAGAACCTGTTGCGGGTGGCGCAGGGCGACGAGGAGGCCGAGAGCGAAGCTCACGGGCGCCTCCTCGAGGCGCTCGACAGGTTCTGCGTCAAGCTCGCGGCTGCGGAGAAGGCTCTGTGAGGTGTTCAGGGGCAATCGAGGTCCGAGGTTTTCGGGCGTTCTCGTGACTTCTCGGCGGCTCTCCAGCCTCGTGATGCGTTCCAGCAGCTGCGCCTCGCCGAGAGAGTTCCGGGGGTGCCCGGATCGCCCTAATCGGCAGCCGATGAGCCGAGTTACCGTCCGCAAACCAGGGGGCAACAACGTTCGGAGGCTCAGGGGAAGATGCATTGGCACCCAATCGCCCATGGATCTCCGAGGGGGGCCTGATGGCCCACTCCGCCCAGGGCCGTACGGATTTACTATCGGGGGCCTATCGCCGATCGATGTGTCGGCGATGTTTTTTTCGGCGAGGACCATCGAGGAGCATTTTTTCATCTCGTGAAAAATATTCCCACGGAGCCGACGTCCGAGCGATTGATGGCAAGGGTCGATGCTCGCCCTCCCTGAGCTCGCCCCCCCCCACCTGTTGCCCCCAGGTGGAGCTGCGCGGGAGCCTCTCCGCGTCTGGCGGCCAGCGTTGGCGCCGGCGCGGACCCG